GGCAGTTGATGACTGCTGGTGGATGGAGATCCTCTTTGGGGTGTGGGGGCGGGGGCGGACCTGGCCACTGGCAGGTTGCCCATGCTCCAAGGGATTAAAATATTAATTTACAAAGGTGCAGCATATTGGGGCTGAGTATAAAGTAGTTCCTTATTAAGTTAACAAGTACATAGTTAAATGCTAGGCAGGGTCCTAGTGACGCTTCAGAGAAGAAACAATGGTGAGGACTTTGGAATGTGTATGTAGAGTAGTAATAACTAAAGTATGACCTAGATTGTAATTATTTTTGTTTTATGAATGTGAGTGTACTTATGTGCAGCACATGCATGTAGTGCCCACAGAGGCCAGGAAGAGGTCATTAGACACCTGAAACTGGAGTTTCAGATGGTTGTGAGCCACCGTGTGGGTGCTGGAAATTGAACTTGGTTATACTGCAAGAGCAGTAGGTAACATTCATATTTTTAAAATAGTGTTTGTCAGGCTGGAGAGATGGCTCAGAGGTTAAGAGCACTGACTGCTCTTCCAGAGGTCCTGAGTTCAATTCCCAGCAACCACATGGTGGCTCACAACCATCTGTAATGAGATCTGGTGCCCTCTTCTGGCCTGCAGTCACATATGCTGTATACATAATAAATAAATAAATCTTAAAAAAAAAAGAAAGAAAGAAAAAAACATTCCCCCCCCCCAAAAAATAGTATTTGTTTGCCCAAGTTTGTTTTACATTTCTCATGTGAAAAGGACTTTCTCCTATCAGTATTTGGATGGAAGCAAACTGTACTGTTTGAAATGAATGGCAAGATTCTCTCCTGGCCCCAAACAAGCCTCTATTTCCCAAGACAAAAAATTTGAAATGTCCCTCAGCACAAGAATTGAAAACATTTCACATGTATCTTGATATGCCTTAGTACTCTGTGGAAGCTAAAACTATTTACAGAGTTCAGCCAGAAATAATTCTTGTACTTTAATCAGGCAGCAAGTGGGAACTTGGTGTATCCTCTGCAGTGGGATAAAAATCTGTAGAGGGACATCCAATAACACAGCTTCAGAATTTTTCAGGAAAAATGTGAATTATATTTTGTGTTTCAAGTCTGCATAATACCTATGAAATTCATATTGTTTATATTTCATGATTTATGACCAAATGTAAATTTGGGAAGGTGATTAGACAGGAAATAGAAACAATTATTTAGTGTTCTATTCGGCTTCTTTATTTATTTGTGCCAACTCGTATATTCTCTGACCTGGTCCCATTAAGCCAACTTGTCTTTATATCCATGCAATTATAGGGAGCTGACCAATCAGAAGCCACAGCAAGTAATCTCCATTCCAGCTTTGGCGACACCACAGGGCACCTATTGTTGGTTGAGTTGTCCTTTGTCATTTTCTGCCTTAGCTATTACTTTCTCCCCACACAAATTGCTCGCCCAATGCTTCTACAAAAAGCGTGGTCATTTCCACTTGGAACAACTCACTGTAGGACACCCCTCTATCTTCTGCTGTCAACTTCAAAAACCTGGTCAGAAACCCTCTCACTCTCGCCACAAGTAAATCATTACTTCCTGTGACATTCCTCATTTTTATTGTGGAGGTGTTAAACGCAACCGAGATTCACAGAATGATTTGTTTCCTTGATGACTAGAAAGGACATTAATCAAGTGTTTCCAAAATCATGCACAACAGCAGCCAGGCTGAACTCAACTCCAAATTATCTCCAGTGCTTTCTGCATCCCAGTCTTTCCGTTTCTTACACCTTCAGACTCAGAAGAACAGTGATGCCTTCATCAGATCACTGTAGAAACACCCATTGCATTTTTTTGCCATGTAATTAACATGCATATATATATATATATATAACATGAATATATATATATGCATGAATATATATATATATATATATATATATATATATATATATATATTCACTTGAATTCCCAACATGTGAAGAGCACTATTAGATTTGGGGTAGTGATACTTTAGAAGTGGAAAATGACAACTCAGGAGCTCAGCTCTTGGCCAGCATAACCCGGGCAGTGAGAGGCTGTGCAGATTACTGTCTTCTGTCCCATGGGCACTCAAGACAAACACAGTTAGCAAACAGAGGTACTGTATTTGCAATGGACCCAAAGGCCTCACTGCTGGAATGGACCATCTAAAGTACCCATAACCCATGATCCCTGGGAAAGGACTATAAGTTAGGTGAGCCAGTTAGCTAGCTACCCCTGGGCCACTCTATTCTGCTTCCCCTGTTTCTCTCTCTTTTACTGCAACCACACGTCTTTTGGCATGCACCCACTTCGTCTTCTGTCTTTCCTCAATTTAGGCGTCTTTCACTGGAGGCCTGTAGCACCTTGGATTTCTTCTAGTCCTTTAACCAATTTCATTTGATGAAGTTGGTTTTTTTTTTTTTTTTTTTTTTTTTTTTTTTTTTTTTTTTTTTTTGTCTCATGCTGCTTTTTCTTACAGACAACGAAAATCATACGAGCCTCAAAATTTTATTCACTCAAGTTTAAACTTCCAACTATTTTTTTTTCTGGCTGGATGACCCTCAGGCATATTGAAAAATGACGCCCCCGCCAAGCAAAAATGTAGATAAACTAGAACTCTTGTGAGATTTTTTTAATGGCGGATTTCTCTCTGTGCAATATCTGGCACTGGGAAGGCCATTCAGATCCAAGCTCCATTCAGTTGGTTTGAGCAGATTCCACCCTCTGTAGACATTTAACTACTTACTCATTTTGCATTTGCATGGCCCTACAATAATGTCCAAGGGGACAGTACGGGGGAAACGGTCAATGCCTGTTTTAGTTACTTTTCAATAGTTTAGATGAAACATCACCACAAAAGCAATAGAAGGAAGCAATTCCTCCAAAACTTACCATTCCAGATGGATAACAGTTCCTCTCCATTGGTGGTGAAGCATGACATCAGGCAGACGTGGCAGGTGGAGCAGCAGCTGAGATGTTACATCTTCAGCTGCAAATAGGAAGCAAAGAGAGAAAATCGGGTATAGTACCAGTCCTTTGAAACCTCAAAGCCTGCCCCCAGTGATGCGCTGCCTCCAGCCAGGCCACACCTCCAAAACCTACCCAAACAGGGCCACCAACTAGGGCCCAAGTATTCAGATGCTTCAGAATATGTGGGACATCTCATTCAAACTACCACATTGCTCAACATCTGTGTCATCCCAACAAATTTAAACCAAAGCATATGGAACAGACTACTGGAATGAAAAGCTCAGTGATTCATCTGTGCAATAAGGTACACCTTGTACTCAGAAAATGGTTGAGTATATTCTTTTAGTCCAATGCTATAAAACTCATGGGAAGGGACACAAGGGACTAAATGTATCTAGTTAGTCTGTCATCATTCAGGGACTAGACTAACTGGGTTCTTATGATATGCCTGGTTTTCTGGATCCTGCTTAGTTTCCAGAGAGAACAATTGGAAGTAACAAATGGGTGTTCTTGAATTTGTGTATGTTCCCAGTTGATAAGGAGAAAGGCAAGACAGACTTCGAACAAATAACTAGGAATCGATAGAATTTCAACATCAACCCAACACTGAGGAATATCAACACTGTTGAGTTATTTAATGATGGTGGGTATTGGATAGGGAAAATGGTCCCTGTGGCTCAAAGTTATGGTTATTCCCACCAGTCCTCACAGGTTGACATCGCTTCTGTGTCTATGGGCTCAGCTCAGAGATGTGGACACTCTTAGGAAGGTAACAAGGAAATGTCCCTTGTAATTTGGACTCTAAATTTAATCATAAGCAAGTGTCAAATGCATGAGTGTCAAATGTGAAAGATTCCTGAGGCCATCTCGTTCCTGCTCCTGTTGTGTAGATGAAGACATTGAAGTCCAGAGCAAAAGGGAGACTGTCTGAGATGGTATGTCTGGTTAGACACAGAGGCCACTGGTCTGGCTATGGGCAGAGATATCACACAGTGATATCTGTCTGTCTGTCTGTCACTGCCCCAGGAGCAGACTGTCAGGATGCAATTGTTGTTCATCTTTTCAAACTAGGCTTGGTCCTACCTTCAGAATCCACATATCTCAATAACGACAGAGGGGCAGAGGTGCCAATTATATATATTTTTACTTTAAAATTGGACTATTTATCTAAAATTCAAGTTTAACTGAGCACCATGTATTTATTTGTTTTATTTGATAACCCCAATCCCAGGAAAGGTGATAATAACCAACTGAGTAAAATATTAGTGCAATTTAATCATTTTAACACTATTGATAGTTCAGTTTTCAGGATCATTCTTAGTATGTATGTCTGTATTTTATAATATCCCTAAGGTAGATTTTTTGGGAATTGTGTTGGTTTGAAAGAAAACGGCTCCCCAGGGGAGTGACATTGCTAGGAGGTGTAGCCTTGTTGGAATAGGTATGATCTTGTTGGAGGAAGAGGCAGGCTTTGAGTTCTCATACATGCTCAAGCTATGCCCAGTGTCTCAGACCACTTCCTGTTGCCTGTGTAAGAGATAGAACCCTCAGCTACCTCTGCAGTCCCCACCCACCACCATGTCCCACTATGATGGCAATGGAATAAACCTCTGAACTGTAATTAAATGTTTTCCTTTATAAGAGTTGCTGTGGTCATGGTATCTCTTCACAGCAATAGAAACCCTAACTAAGACAGAAATCTATAACTTTAGTAGTGTTTTTTACTTGTTTGAATGTTAATGATGGGGCTGGAGACATGGCTCAGCAGTTCAGAGCACTGGCTGCTCTTCCAGAGGACCTAAGGTTAATTCCCAGCAACCATATGGTGGCTTACATCTATAATAGGATCTGATGCCCTCCTCTGGTATGCAGGTATATATGCATAGCACTCATACATAAAATAAAAATAAACTTAAAAAAAGAATGTTAATGATTTACATATGATCCACTATCACTTTTTAACTTATGTATTATGAAGGTTGAAACACTTAAAATAGGTGTCCTCCATATGTAAAAATACTTCTTCCTGTTCCTTTTCTTTTTCAGAGGGAGGCTGACAGCATTGCAAAAGACCGAGATGGGGATAGCATTCCATACAAACATGATTGTTTCGGATGGACAGTGATACATTTTCAGCACATTCATCAATAGGATCATGATTGAGGCGTCAGTGACATGTCAGCTGAGAGCCAGTCCGTTGGTATTTTACAGAGGCCATCGTGCCACTGATGATGACAGTTTCTTTTTTGTAACAAAGACAGTGGAAACCAAAGGGGAAATATTCAAAGTAGGATGAAAGGAATTAGCGTCAGAAAAGACCCTGCAGGGTCCGGAAAAGAGTTGTCAGATTCTCCACTGTAGGACACATTAGTAACTAGCTTCATCTCTTGTAGCTTCTTTCCCATTGTCTTACCCAGGTGCTTCCCCAGCCTCTGCAGAAACCAACAGACGGAGCTACATGTCCCAATGCCAAAAGCTGAATTCAAGCCAGACACAAACTGGATGATTAGAACACTTCTTGTCTAGTTCTGGGTGCTTGACGCCTGAACTCAAGGTGTCCTTCTGAAGGCTTTGGAATTTTTTTTTTTCCTGTGTGCCCAAGTCCCAGGTGTTCCAGAACTGTCCTTACCATTCTACACTGTGATGGCTGCTCTTCGATGCCTACCTGACAACATCTGGAATTCACTAAAAATCCAAGTTGCTGGGCACACCTGTGAGGGATGTTTAGTTAACTGGATCATTGAGGTCGGAAGAACCATTATAAATCTGGGCCACACTGTCTCATGGCAGCCTTTATAAAGGGCATGGGAAAGAAGCTCTTGTTCTCTGTCTCCTTGCCCTTGCTCTTGATTCACTTGTATCAGAGCCTACTTGTGGTATTTTATTCCCCAAAATATTGTGCATGCTAATAAACTTATCTGGGGTCAGAGACAGAACAACCACAATATTAAACATAGAAGTTAGGCAGTGGTAGCACACGCCTTTAATCTTAGCATTCCAGAAGCAGAAATCCATCTGTTCAAGGATACAGACAGGCATTGTGACTCACACCTTTAATCCCAGAAAGCCAGCCTTTAATCCCAGGGAGTGATGGCAAAAACAGAAAGATATATAAGGTGTCGAGACCAGAAACTAGAAGCATTTGGCTGGTTAAGCATTTGGCTGGTTAAGCTTTCAGGCTTCTAGCAGCACAGTTCAGCTGAGACCCATTCTGGATGAGGACTCAGAGGCTTCCAGTCTGAGGAAACAAGACCAGCTGAGGATCCGGCGAGGTGAGATAGCTGTGGCTTGTTCTGTCTCTCTGATCTTCCAGTGTTTAACCCAATACCTGGCTCAGGTATTGATTTTATTAATAAGAACTTTTAAGATTCATGCTACACCTACTTCTTCAGGATTCTGATGTACACTGAAGACCAGCTGAGACTCCCAGCCTCATGGACCAAACAAGTAACTACTGGATGATTGGATTTTGCACTAGGAGACAGCCATTGTTGGACTAGCTGGACCACAGCCACTCTACCCGTTCTGTGTTCCTCTAGAGAACCCTGCCTAATACACACATCTCAACTCTGATCTCTGCCCCCATCTTCACACGACCTTTGAGTACACCTGTGTTTTCTCTTCTCCTTCTATGGACAAGTCATTAGATGTCAGCCTAATCAAGTACGGCCTCTTCTGAACTGGTTATGTTTACCAAGACCTTACAGCCAAAGGAGGTCACATTCTGGGCTCCAGATGGATATACAATGTGAGATGTCACCATTGACCTACTGTATAGTATACTGTAGTACTGTGGAGTCCAAGTATATATATACTTCCCCATCCTCCACTAGATAATGTGGTCCCTGAGGTAGGACTAGACAACGCTTTATTGACCTTCTGCTGTCTACTTCAGTATCTGGCACAGAGAACTATGAAATGCGCCTGAAAGACCAATGATCTGAACACATGGTTCTTTCTTTACCAATTAAATTCCCTCTAGGTTGATTCCTTTGATCTCTTCAATGTCATATATATATATATATTTTTTTCTCTGTTCTTTGGTCTTTATTCCATCTTCAATGCTTCACTTTTAATTCTGCCCTAAACAGTTCTATAAAGCATGGAAACTCTGAAATGTTAGAGAACATACAGAGTCATATGTCAATAGATAAAATGATAAATAGATGGGTGTTTATGTTTATAGTATAAATGTTCAGGTATACAATAGTTTATCATGAAATATATTCTTCAAGGCTTTACCCAGAGTGTCTTTACTCATGATTTCCTAAATCTTAAGTACTGCATAAAGCCACTGACATTTAACACAGATTTTCAAAGTACTATGAGCTTAAGTCCAAGTGTGAGCATCAGGAAAGAGCCTGCTAGCTGGCAGAGCCATCTGGCCACATGTGAGACTACGGAACTTAGCAGGATCTTTCAGGGAGAAGATAAATTACTCTCAGAGGATCTTGCTTCATCCTCTCAGAGACCAGAGATTAAAAGCCCATATGGTGCTGGGTGTGTAGTCAGACTCAGAACTTTGGAGGAGGAGGCAGGAAGATGGTAAGTTCAAGGCCAGCCTGTGCTTAGTAGCAAGAGCATACACCAAGACTAAACAAGACAGCCCAGATGATTGTGGTTCTCTGAGGGACGAGGTGTCTCAACTCTCTTCAGATTGCTGCCATTACAAGATGTATTCCTTTTCCAAAGCAGATCTCTCAGTCCTTGGTTATGCAAGAGAGCCATCTCAGATGGAGCGCAGGTGGGAGGAAGGATTCTCCTGGGCGGGGTGAGCAACATTTTTAGTGTCCATGGCTAAGAAAGAGCTACTCTAGATAGTCCAGAAGAGTAGAGAACTTCCTTTTTCTGTTTTTGAAAATAAAATCACAGTCTGAAGATCAAATGGAAGAAGAAATTTAGTAGATAAGAAAAACAAAACAAAATAAAAACAAAAACAAACCAACCAACCAAACAAAAAGAAGCCATGTGTGGTGGCACACGCCTTTAACCCCAGCACTGGGGAGACAGAGGCAGGAAGATCTCTGTGAGTTCCAGACCAGTTTGCTTTGCATAGGGAAATCTAGGTCAGAGCCTGTATAAAAAAAAAAGGAAATCATGAAGAGCAAAACCAGGAGGTATGGAGAAATGAACCCCAAACCAAACTTTCAAGTAATAGGTTCAAAGGCCAAAACATACAAAAGTAACTGGAAGGAATTTTATTTGAAAGAAAAAGTTTACATGAACATATTAAAAGGACCTACAGAGCCTTGCCAGGAGAGAGAGAGAGAGAGAGAGAGAGAGAGAGAGAGAGAGAGAGAGAGAGAGAGAGAGAGAGAGAGAATGAGAGAGAATTAGGAGCTACATGGGAGGTGCAGGACAGACTTAGGAAAAACATCTTCAGGAGAAGCTGAACAACATGTAATAGACTCCACGGTGTGTGTGTGTGTGTGTGTGTGTGTGTGTGTGTGTGTGTGTGTGTGTGTGTGTGTGTATGTTTTATTTGGTTACACTTTGGTGCGTTTTCTTTTCTTTTGGGGTAGTATTTTATTTTGTTTTCTTGGTTTTGGGGGATTTTTTTTTTTGATTTGGAGTTTTGATTGTTTTTTGAGAAAGAACTTAAATTTGGGTGGATAGGGAGGGGGAGAGGGTCTGGAAGGACTTGGGGGAAGAATATGACAAAAATATATTTAATGTTAAAATTGTCTTAAATAATAAAAATACAATAAAAAGGGAAAAAATCATGCAGAAAAGGTAGGATTTATCTCTTTAAGAAAATTTCAGATAAGTAAATATACATATGCTAAGTTACTCTTTGCGATAAAATTACCCCAGCATGCAATTAAATGAAGTGTGAGTAAAATGAGTATTTTCCTTCATTTGATGCACTTTTTACTTTCCTCGTGGTGTTAATTTTAGCACAAACATTTTGCTGGTATTTAATTTACCATTTTCTCCGTCAACTATAATGTCTTATAAAACAAATCGCAGAGCCACACAGATTTACTCTTGTTTTCTACTAAGAGTGTTTAGTCTTCATCCTTTTATATTTGGAGTCACAACCACTTTGGAGTAAACTTTTGTATGTGGTATATGATTCCTGAGTTGTCCTACCATTATTTCTTGAAAAGATTATCCTTTTCTCATCAAACTGTCATGGCATCCTTGTCAGAAATCAATTGGCCATAATATTAAAGCTTATTTATGAATGTTTAACCCTTTCTCACTGATTTGTGTGCTGACTTTATGCCTTCTATGGTGAAAACTGCAGGCCACAAGATGGCAGTGTTTCACATAGCGGGCCCTCACATCCGCAGGGTCACTAGCCAAAGGGGACAGGTGATTGGAGAACACAATGTTCTTCAGCAGCAAGGCAGGGGAGAGGGAATGGAGGTGTAGGGGAGTGAAGGGGTCTCAGCATTAGGGAGCTCTGGAGTGCAGAAGTTTGGGCTTTTAATTGCTACAGAGTCTGTCTATATGAACGGTAGGCGTTGGGTGCAGACTCTACATAGTTAAAAATGTGTTTACCTTGGCCGTGTTTAATGCAATGGATGTGTAAGACCTTGAGGTTTGCCACTAGACAGCTTTGAGCGGATGGTCCGACATCTGAACGGAGGAAATCACGTAGAAATCTACAGAAGTCAGACTGCCAAACTAGTAAAGCAGTGTGGCACCACCTGGATTACTATGGCAACATGGTAAGCTTTGAGATAAGGAAGTGAGTCCTCCAACTGCTCTTTTTCAAGGTCGCTTTGTGTCTTCTGGCTTCATCACACATGGGTTTTGGGATCAGTACCATCGGTTTCCACAGATAGCTAGCTACAATTTGTAAGGAAAACTGTGCAAACTCTGTAGATGGGTGCAGGGTCATGTGAACGGTCTTAAGTTTTCTGAACCTCAAACATGGGCAGGCTTTCCATTTACTTATGTCTTGTTTAATTTATTTCAAATATATTTTTTAGTTGTGTTTCACTTGTTTAGACCTAAATATTTTATTCATTTTGTTGTCATTGTAGATGTGTATCTTGATTTCATGTTGAACAGTTCGGTGACAGTGTATAAAAGCAGAGTTGATCTTTGTGACAGTGTATAAAAGCAGAGTTGATCTTTGTGACAGTGTATAAAAGCAGAGTTGATCTTTTATCGTGATCTGATATTCTGTAACCTTACCACACTAATTTCCTAATTAAAAAAGATTTATAGTAGATTCTCTATCATCCAGGGAAGAAGCTTGTCATCATTGCTGCCACCATGGGAAAGTTTAAATAAAACCAAGAACACATGGAGCCAACGGCTTACATTAATAAGCATGCACAAAGCTAAAGAAAAAGTAATAGAGCACAGCAGAGATGCAGACAATGATAATGCATTGCAGACAAGTTATGTTCAACATTTCAGTTGTAGTTTAAACGTTTAAGAAACAATCCTTTGCCGGGCACACCTTTAATCCCAGCACTCAGGAGGCAGAGGCAGGCGGATCTCTCTGAGCTCAAGACCTGCCTGGGCTACAGAGTGAGTTCCAGGAAAGGTGCAAAGCTACACAGAAAAACCCTGTCTCAAAAAACCAAAAAACCAAACGAAACAAAAACAAAAACCAACAACAACAAAAAGAAACAATCCTTAAGGCATGTATCTCAATTGGTAGAGTACGTGCCTAGCATGCACAAGGCCCTGGTTCGATCTCCAACACCACATAAACCAGGTATAATGGTAACCCTAGCATTTTGGAGGCTGGGAGAGCAGAAGTTCAAGGCCATCTTTAACTACATATCAAGTTTGAGATTAGACTGGCCTACACAGCACCCTTTTTCAAAACAAATAAGTCTATTTAAAAGTGAGAAATAGAAACCCACAAGTCTATGAATAACACAAATTGGAGCCAATGGGTTATTAGGTAGCAACAATAAAAAGACACAAAGTTGAGAAGAGGTAAGGAGGCAGGGCAGATCTGGGAGGAGATGGGATGAATATGATCAAAATACATGTATTTTTCAAAGAAATAATAAAAATATATTTAAGGAAACCATTGAAATTAATTTCATTATTTGAATAAAGAAAAAACTGTAAGCACACAAAAATTTGCAAAAAGCACATTTGACAAAATTCGGCACCCAAGATAAATCCTTTTGAGAACTTGTATTCTAAAGAAGGATTTTCATATAATGAAAAGTACATAAACACTACACTAAATGCTTATTTTGTGTTAAGAACAAGAATACAAAATATGGTGGTTTGAATGAGAACGGCCCCCATAGGCTCATATATTTGAATACTTAGTCATCAGGGAGTGGCACTACTTGAGAGAGATTAGGAGGTGTGGCCTTGTTGAAGGAAGTGTGTCACTGGGGGCAGGCTTTGATGTTTCAGAAGCTCAAGCCAGTCTCAGTGTCTCACTCTCTTCCTGCTGCCTGTGGATCCTTTTTATTTTACATCCTGCCCACAGTTTCCCCTCCCTCCTCTCTTCCCAGTTCCTCCCTCCCACCCTCCTTCTGTGCCCCCCTCCAGCTGTCCACTCCTCCTACATTTCTGTTTAGGAAAGGTCAGGTCAAGTTTCCCATGAGTATCAACAAAACATGGCTTATCAAGTTGCAGTAAGACTAAGCATCTCCCCATGTATTAAGGCTGGGCAAGGTTACCCAGTAGGAGAAGTAGGGTCACAAAAGCCAGGGAAAGAGTTGGAGATATCCCCTTCTCCTACTGTTAGTAGTCCCAAGAGAGGACAGATCCTGATGTAGAACTCCCAGCCCCTTCTCCAGCACCACATCTGCCTGCACACTGCCATGCTCCCTGCCATGATGATAATGCACTAAACCTCTAAACTATAAGCCAGGCCCTATTAAATGTTTTCCCTTATAAGAGTTGCCATGGTCACAGTGTCTCTTCACAGCAACAGACTAAGACACACACCAAGACTGGAACTGAGTCAGCACAAAACTCTTTTTTTTTTTTTTTTTTTTGGTTTTTCGAGACAGGGTTTCTCTGTGTAGCTTTGCTCCTTTCCTGGATCTCACTCTGTAGACCAGGCTGGCCTTGAACTCACAAAGATCCACCTGGCTCTGCCTCCCGAGTGCTGAGATTAAAGGCATGCGCCACCACCGCCCGGCTCTTTTTTTTTTTTAAATGTTGAATGCTGTTTATTGAAGGAGGTTTTTGTGGGTTTTTTTTTTAAATTTTCCGGAGCTGAGGACCTAACCCAGGGCCCTGTGCTTGCTAGGCAAGTGCTCTACCACTGAGCTAAATCCCCAACCCCGGGAGGAGGTCTTAAATACAGTCTTACAGCACAATGGGAGAATCCAGGGCAGAAGTTCGCTACTGATGTTTTACAATCTTGCATCTAAGCTGTTAACGCCCAATACAGCATGAAACTCTTGCCATGAAGAATTGTTGTATGTTCTGAACAGCTCAGCAAGTCAGAAAAAGGCAAACAAACAAGAAAAAAAAAAGAGTAAGATTAGAGTTGATCAAAAGATTATCTTCAGATTCCACAAGTATGTACTTTGAAAGGAAAACCATTGGGAATACAAATGTATTTCATTTACACCCACAGTAAACAATTAGAAAATGTGACCAATACCTGTTACATACATGTAATGAAGTAGCATATTATATCTTGCAAATATGTTCAATTATTACACACTAATAAAAAAAAAGTGTTTAGGGAAGTGGAAATGCTAATCATTCTGGTTTGATAATTACAAATTGTATATGTGTACCTAATTATCTTACTATATCCCATAAATATACACAATTATTAATAATAAAATTTAAAATATAAAATATTTAAAAATATTAATTGATCCCCTCAAATATGTGTAGGAATATGTTAAAAATGTGCAAAACCACTGTATCAAAATCTCACAATGTAGGACTGGGGAAATGGCTCAGTGTGTGAAGTGATTGCCACAGAGAGCATGGAAATGTGAATTTGGATCCCCAGTACCTCCGTGTAAAGGTCAGGCACAGAGGTTCCTACCTGTGATCTAAGTAACTGGAAGCAGAGACAGTAAGACCCTGGTGTAGCAGGAATCTTAGAGAGTCTTATTAATAAAATCAAACCCAGGGCTAGTTATTGGGGTCAATGCTGGTAGATCAGACAGAACAAGCCACAGCTACCTCACCTCGCTGGATCCTCAGCTGGTCTTGTCTCCTCAGACTGGAGGCCTCTGAGTCCTCATCCAGAATGGGTCTCAGCTGAACTGCTACTCGAAAGCCTGAATGCTTAACCAGCCAAATGCTTAACCAGCCAAATGCTTCTAGTTCCTGGTCCTCATGCCTTGTAAACCTTTCTGCTTTCTACCACCACTCCCTGGGATTAAAGGCTTGCTTTCTGGGATTAAAGGCATGATAAGTCACCATGCCTATCTGTATCCTTGAACACATGGATTTCTGCCTCTGGAATGCTAGGATTAAAGGTGTGTGCTACCACTGCCTATCCTTTATGTTTAATATTGTGACTGCTCTGTCTCTGACCCCAGATAAGTTTATTAGCATGCACAATATTTGGGGGAATACAATACCACACCCTGGGGGCTCACCACCAGCCAGTCCAGCCGATCAGTGAACTCCAAGTTCATCGAGTCAAACTGTCTCAAAAAAAAAAAAAAAAAAAAACAAGGTGGAAAGTGAGAGAGAAAGACACTGGTGTCTGCCTTTGGCCTCCATACATGCACACATAGGTACAGGTACTGGCAGACACACATGCACCCACATGTACATCACAAATGCACATCAAATCTAAGAATGTTGAAGAAACCTAAATGAACAGAGCGCCACAACACACTAATGTATTAAAGACTTGGGATAATGTACTCAAGATTTAGAATCTACATTAATGGATTAAAATATGCAAGACAGCTCTCCAAAACTGATCAATATATTGAATACATTTCAAAATTTTTAATTCTAGCAGGTTCCTTTGGCATAAAAGTTTCCAAGTTAGTTCTAAATTTTATTTGGAAGTGAAAAATGCCAAGAGTATTGAAGAAAATGTTGAAGGAGAAAAATGAAAGGTCATCAACTACTGGACAAGATTTATTATAATGCTGTAGAAATTAAGTATTGTCGACAAGGGTAGCTGAAAGGACAGAACAGAGAAGACAGAATCAGCCCACACTAAAAGCGATGCCTGATTTAAGGAAAAGCACACACTGCTAACTGGTGTAGGAAGGATAGTCTGTCCAATCAGAGGTTTGGGGGCAAGTGGGAATCTAAATATACAGAATTAATCTTGATCTCAGACAAAATCCCAGAATAGAGAGGGGTAGGTGGCTATGAAATCCCAAACTAACCTAGGAACTACTGATACTTGATAAAACTTCTGGATGGTGGAGGTCCAGCTTTCTTTAAGAGTGTGTAGCCCTTGGCAGGTCAACCATGACCCCACACCTAGGAGTATGTGGACAGCACAAATTGAAATTGATTAATTAATTTTTTAAAAAGGGAAGAAACAAATTGGGGAGGATAGGGAGGTAGGGACTGATCTGGGAAAAGCGAGGAGAGGAATAATGACCAAAATACATTGCGCGGCATTTCTGAAGTGTGTATATATATACATATATGGATATATAGGACTGTGTATGACTATATGCCTTAAAACCACATACTGTGGCCAGGCAGGGGTGGCTCATGCCTTCAATCCCAGCACTCGGGAGGCAGAGCCAGGTGGATCTCTGTGAGTTCGAGGCCAGCCTGGTCTACAGAGCGAGATCCAGGACAGGCACCAAAACTACACAGAGAAACCCTGTCTTGAAAAAAAACCGAAAACAAACAAACAAAAACAAACAAAACAAAACCAAAAACCATGTGCTGCTCACGGGTCACTTACAAGCCCTTTGGCAGGGCCCCAGGATATAGAAGGTATTAAAATCTATGCCATCCACCGAAACTATGATTTCTCTGTGGATATAAACACGTCATCTTAAGTAAAAAATTTACATTTCGGTCCTTGGAGTTTTCAAGTTTGGGAAATTCACCTTTAACTAGTCGGACCATACAACTGGTGAAAGTCAGGGGAAGCTAGAAGTTGGGGGCGCGCATGTGTAAGGCTACCCCACGCAAGTTAAGCAAGTGTTTCATCACATCAGAAGAAAGAAATCGCTACTGTGTTCTTGAAAAATCCAATTTGTCCTGAAACAAATCATCCTACAAAATGACAGCTCATGCTCAAAAGGTCACGAGGCTAGCGATGCAGTGTTCCCGTGTTGAACCACTCATTCAA